TCTAGCTATTAAGAACTGGCTTGTGCATTGACATATTATTGCCCTCTGCTGGATCGACTTAGAAGAATTCAGCTACGTATCATAGGTCTTCTACTGCTCAGAGATGAGATAAATTTCTCTCTTTTTGCTTTTTAAAGTGACACAGTGACAGCTATTAAATCACATTGATACATTTTTCAAGGAAACTTCAACACAAAAAAATCCACTCATTATTCAGAGAGGGAGTCTGTGACCTTTAGGCTTCAAGGAACCTGCACCTTCCTGACCAACTTGCCTCGAATAAACTTTAGGAATAGTCAGATCTTTCTCCCTGGTTTTGGTTACCTTTGCGGTGATGTGCATAGTAGTAGAAAGACATTTAGAAATCCAATGATGAGCTATTCAAGGACTGAGACCCTTGAATATATTTCTGCTCTCTTTCCACCCTGTGGAACACTGTCAGGTTTCTGCAACGGAAATTACAGGTCCCCAGGAGACACCTAATAGCATATAAAGACTAGTCACTAATTCTGATCTCTCCATATTCATCAAGAAATATTAGAATACTCTGGTTCTGTTCTTTCTGTTCTATCTTCTCTGCTTGCAATAAAAGCTGGCCCACTTCACTGCTTTCTTATCAAAGAAATTGTCTACCACGGAAAATCCTCTGTACAGCAGTCACATTCTGACATCCCTTCAGAGAGGCAAAAGTCTGAATAGCAAATAAGAATAAATTTCTCTCTTATCTGAGCAGTTCTTTCTAGTGAGGCAAAAATGGTGTGGGGGAAGTGTACTTTTCTATCAGTTTTTTCTAACAAAGAGATTGTGCCAATCTTTTTGTGGTCCTCGAAGACATGATCTAAGAAAGGTATCTTCATTTTAAATTGTTTAATTAACGTTTGTCAACATCTATCTCAGGTACTTATCGCACCACAGCGTCTTGCAGTTTGTAATGTTTTTGATGATGACACATATACATGTGGTTAAAGAGGTGTTACTCTCTACAGTTAGAATGTACAGAAAGTAAATTGAGTCATCCTGGGAAAGTTCTGGCAGAACTGGAACTTGAAATGCATTCTCCAAAATCACAGGAAAGTTTTTTACCCCTAGAACATCCCTCGACGAGCTGACAGTAAAGCAAACCTGAAATCACACATACGACATAATACCTCGAACTATGACTTTGAAACCCCTTCAAATTTGCAACTGTTCTCTAGTCTTCTCTTAACAATAAAAAAAAATTAGTTAGTAAACAGAGAAACCTCTGTCTCCAGGGCTATCTGTCATCTTTCATAAGTATTAAGGCGATTTAGGATAGCCAAATACATTCTAGCACTAAAATAACGCATATTACCATAACACAACATTTTAAAAATGCTTGATCTAAAATAGATTGGCAAGTAAATCTGAAATAGCTGCTGAAAGAATGCCAGGAAAAAAAAAATACAAATGCAATAACAAAAGCACATGTAAGAGATATAGTTTCATTTTGGGAAAGATACACACGGTATATTGTGTAATATTTGAACAAATGAGTTTCTATCAAAGATAATCTTGGTGGGTAAAACTGCCAAATTTTCAGTATGAAGCACAGAGGGAAGTGTGCTTTTTTAATGCTGTAATGAAAATCTTAGTTACTTTATTCCTATCTCATGTTTCCCTTTGACCAAGCCCTATTTGAAATTGTTAGCAAATCCAGTCTGATGATAACTGAGCACAATTCCACTGAAGTCAATGGCAATGATTTTTCTCCACACAAGTGTGGGAAAGACAGGCCTTTCCTCTGGGTTTTATGAATAAACCAGTATTAGAACGGAGCAAAAAGCCTTATATTTAAATATATCTAGCCTGAATATTGGGTAAATACCCTTTCTTCTCTTAATAGCAATTAGAATTCAATTCTGTGCATGTTTTACACCGCAAAATTAAAAAACAAAAAAGCAGGCTGTCCAAGTGAAAACTTCAGTGTGTTGCCACATGCTTAAAATATTGCAATTACCACCCAAGTGAGCTGCAATTAAATTTGTTGAAGAGCTGAATTTTAATTTTCAAAACCACTGAAATGGGAAACAGCATGTAAACAGTGGGAAATCACATTTTAACAGGACTTCTTAAAAGCAGAGCACAGGTTAGATGAGGAACCAAGAGACCTGAGAAAACCTGATACACAACAAGGACTGTGGATTACTGCTGAAGCGAGCAACAGAAACAAAGATGTCTTTGAAAGACAGCCAAGGGGAGAAGAGCAACAATACCACACCCCCAGAAAAGCTCTCAGTGCTCTGCACCCATTGAAAGGACCCTCTATCACCTACATAGTGAGGGCCAAAGCTGAAACACATGCTCTGAGAGACTGGGCATTACCTCAAATATGATAGAAGTTCCCAGCCACCAAAGTACAGATGGGATACACAGTGCATACATAGGTAGAATTGGGAGCTTTGCTGTGACAATTTTACGTATGATGAAGTTCTTCCATAAAGATTCCAGTCTTTCAATCTCAAGTCTTTTTAGGTGTGCCAGCAAATTATATTAACTACCCTGCATGTCAGAGAAGTGCACAATAACCTCTATTTTTTAATCTTGTCTGTTTCAGTGCTTAGAAAAATCTGAAGCGCTAATAACCAGGACTGCTCATTAACCCATCTCCATTAACATCCAAAATTGCAGTAATCCTTTTCAAAGCAGATGCAATCACTCCACACTGGTGGATTTACTTTCTTATCACCATATATGGCTTGTAGAGTGCTCTTAATTTTATGCAGAAACAGAGTGACTCCATTAGATGGGAATTTTGTTAATAAAAAGGTAATGTATAACATTATTATTTAATTTCTTTTTAACTTTCATGTTCCATTGCCAGGGGTGGAATTTCATATCTTTCAGTGATTCACTGAATAAAACAAACTTCTACGTCAAGGTCTCATGTCCAAGTTATTTTAAGTGACTTACCCCCAGGAATGAATCCACTGTGAACACTGCCAAGGGGTCTAGCACTGTCCAGAGTCCCATAGCTATGATAAACTTTGACAAGAAGGAAGGGAATGAGTCAAACAGCTGTTGACAGCCCCATCTGATCAGGACCATAAGAAGCAGCCCTGAATTCAAGGTTAGGGGTCCCACCACAACCATGATCAACTCTTCACTAGTCCTCAGCAAGGAGTTCTGGTAGCATAGTTCAACAGTGTGAGGGAAAATCTGGAATCTGTAAATAAGCAAAAGGAGAGAGTTTGCCTGTGCTCCTGGGTAAACCATTAAAATTAATAGAATCATGCATACAGCATGCTGCGTTGCAAAGTTGCTTCCCTATCTTGGTCACAACCCTCTGACCAAAAACTCTGGGAAGCTACTCAAAAAAATAAATATTTTTCTCTTCCTGCCTCCATGTCCTTTGATCCCCTCTGACTTTCAGTTCAGTGGATGCATATCCAGGCCCTTGGGACTGTGTAGGCAAGGGCTGCACAAAGACATCAGCTCCCAGAAGCACCAATGTAAGCACAGGCCCCAGGAGCTCACTCCTTTCTGCATAAAGTGAAAAATGTGATATGGAAGACATAGCTTTTAACATCCCTAAAGCCACTAGAAATTTCCCTCTTGCCACCATGGAATGCTGAGACTCGCAAAACTCACACAATGAGCACATGTGCTGGCACTGTAGGAAGCAGGAACTACATGGTATTGTAAGCTACATATAGATGCTAAAACTTAAGGCAAAAATTTCAAGCCAATCAGAGTGGCTTAAATTCTTCTTCTAACTAAAGGTGGGGTAGTTTGATTCTCACTTTGGTTCTGACTCTTGAACAGTCCCGCTGCATTTGCTGGGACTAGAAAACCCTCAACTCCGTCTCATGTTTTGCAGGCACACAGCTACAGATTGGGATGCTGATCCAGGGCATCTTGGCTTGAGAACATCATTCTTTATCTAACTGACTGCCAAGGACAGCTGTGATTAGTGGCTCTGAACATGACCACCTCTCTCTCACATGTTGCTTCCTTCTGTTGTGTTTCCTTTGCTCTCTCAGACTCTTGATGCTTGGCCTCCCAGAAGTTTTAATGCCAGCTGGCCAAGCCTGCCTGGACTGTGCAAGACCAGAAGTGAAAGATGGCTGCTTTAATATTAATAATTAGAAGACCACCTTAACAATCCCCAGTGCTGGCCAATCTGCTCAGATACCCTGTTCAAATTTTAGCCAGTAATCCCAGTATCACAGCAGACACAGTTGTATGTTACTGTCTCCTACCGACTGATTGAGGTTTGCATCTCACTTGAAAGTGGGACAAAAAGAAGTTTCTATTGGAGAAATCTCACTTCCCTAAGCATGACTGATCTGTTTTGCTCTGTATACCTCTTCTCTACCCCACAGCAACATATGGAGATATAGAGAATCAGGTATATATCACCTTGAGGACCTGTTCTCCATCTGTATTTTTTTTCCATGGCAAGTAATGATTTTCCTGGAACTCTCTAAGTTCTGGTTCCCAAGCTAAAGCTAATGTATCATACATTTAAAATATGTCAACCCATTGTAGCCCTCACAATAGATATATCAAAATTGAATTCTTTAAAGTATTTTACACATAGATCACTTTGGTAACATCAAATATGTTTTAAATGCCTTAGTTTTGTGCACTTTCTAGTTATTTTTAAATACTTGATCCAAAATGACAAATGATTCCTTTGGAAGATACATAACCTGCTGAGTATCTCAGAAGGGACAAAGGTAGGTATGACACAAGATATACAAATAGACACATCCTGTTCTGGGTTGAAAACTCACATTTTTAACAACTTCACATTTCTGTTAGGGTCACATTTAAATATAAGATCTTCTGGAGTCTGGATGTGGTCCGTGTTCTCCTAGTCTCTGCAGCACCCTATCAAGGCTTGCATGCAGAGCCCTCAGCCTAAAAGCATGAGTCTTAGTCATCATGTCTCTAAACAGTGCAAAGGAACTGCCGTGAATGAAGCTATTTGTAGAAACATTCTGACAGATAAAGCAGTCAGGGTGACTTACTTTGTGACAGGAACTGAGATGGACTGAAGGAAGAGCCATTGGCTCAAATAATGCAGGTAAAGTCTCACAAACCAAAGCAAAACCACAAGCAGTACAAGCAGCCAGAAGTCCCCAGAGCGCCAGTGTCCCGGTCCCAGCTCTGAGAAGGCTGCGTACACCACGAAATGGAAACGCTCAGCAACCTGTCTGGATAGTTTCACTTCAGCAGCAGAACGGCAGCTGGAGATATATGGAAATAAAAGTAAGAGTCATTCAGAAAAGTATATAAGAAATAGCAATTGCTAAAACACTGTAGAGTTCTGTTATACAGATAAACATGGCACAGTTTCTGATTGACCAATTTATCTAACAGTAGAAAACACATTTTTTCTGTTGCAGTCTGGGCAATACGTGGCTTCCTCCCAGAAATTATGCCTCTGCTTTTATAAAGAAAACATTTAAAACCAAATTTTTAAAAGTCTTTTGCTTTCATTTTCCATTTAATTTTTTCACAGATTGCTCTCCAATGAACACTTTATTACTTTTTTTCTTTCTGAGAAAATGGTAAAAGAACTTGTCATATATGTACTGGAAAAGTATTCATTTTATTGAAAAATGTGAACAGCTTGTTGGCATTTGGGTAAGAGAACTTCAATCAAATATTTCAGCACACAATGCAGGCTAAAACTCCTCTTTAAACTAGTTTCAAGTGAAAGAGAAAATAGAAAGCAACTTGCACTGTACAGTATTCTGCTACTGAGTGTGGCGTGATTTGCCCTTTAAGCTAATTACTATAATGCTTCAAAGGCACGGGGGGGGGGGGGAAGGAAGACGAAATGAGACGCAGAGATGCAGACTTGGCATTATGTTTCCAAGAAACTGCAGTCTCTCAGCTGATTTGAAGCTGAAAAGACAGTAGCTTCTTTGACCTTTTGAAACTTCTAACTGTTATGATTATTTCCACTGATTTAAATGACTAAGCAGTTGAGATGTGCTCTAGAACCAAATATGATGTCATCATGCTCAAGCTGTTATTTATATTGATTAAGGCTTCTGAAAGTTCAGAAATATAAAGATCTTTTTGTGGAAGAAAACATGCTGGCTTTTTAAAGTGTAGTGTATGACTTGAGAAGAAGCAACAGCAATACTTGTGCTGTACTTTACACTCTTAAATCTTCTATGCTATTTTAAAATATTTTCCTGCCTACACATATGAATTTTTTAAGTTGTTGCATACATTTCTTTCCCCAGCAGTCACAAAAAGAACTGTGAACAGCAGTGGAGAAAATAAAAGTATTCTGCATTTGGTGTAGGTTTACATGAAAAAGCAAAAAAAAATTAAACCCAAACTTGCCAGCCGTTAAGTTTGGATTTTGAGACCAGCCTTGGCATTATGCTACTCCTGATCCTCAGTATTGTGCAGGATGCATGTGTAGTAAGAAAAGGCATGCTGTCAGCCAACCCCTTTTCTCATGAGAAGGCTCAAGCTTTAGTTACTGGTTTGTCTGAAGAACAGGAGGAATCGTCAGGGACACACCACAAAAAAAAAAAACATATTTTATGTCACTAAGAAGGCCTCAAGTACAAATCACCAAAATTTTTCACAGAAGCAACTGTTGGGCTGAGATTTAATCCTTGCAATGGCTGAAGGTTGATCTGTCAGGGGTTTTGAAGGGCTTTTTGAGACACTGCAGTCCACTTTGCTTTTATCTTAATTAGTCGTAATGTCCTACTTTACAGACTTAAGGCCACATTATGAGTTACCTTCCTCATATTGTAGTTATTTACCCAGAGCAGTCTACAGGAACATCACAACACATTTCATTAATGTTATGAAATCACAGTCTAGGCTTGTGTGAGAAAGAGACAAAGAAAAATGTTAAATGAGAAATATCATTGACTGTGGTACTATACTACAATAGCCACGGCATCCTGAATGTTCTGAACTCTGAAGCTAGATTGCACTACATTTGCTTTAATATAAAGAAATTGTTATCTTTAATAACTTCCATCAAAATCTAATTTCAAGGTACTCAATCCTTGAGGAGAGTTAATAGGGCAGGATTAGACAACAGTTACTTTAGTTAGATCAAATAGTATATTGTTTGTGAAAAAAAAACAAAAAAAAACAAAAAGAAAAAAACATATACGCTATCTTAGCTCATAATACGCTTCTGATCCTTCATCAAACAAGCATAATTACACAGATGTCCCACCCAGCCTCACCCATGTCAGAAATTCATATCCCAGAAGGATCACTGCCAATCTCCATCTCTGTGCCAAGAGCACAAGTAACCACGTATTTTCCACAAAAGTCTGGATTTAGATCACCACCTCATTTCATGTAAGAGTCATTTGCTACCAGATTATTTAGGATCAATTTACTAAATGAAGCTACTTCTGAACAAGAAACACCAGAGTGAAATGCTCAATATACTACCTGTAAATGTTTCAAGACATAAATCCTTCCTCCAACCCAACACACACATTGAGAAGGAGGACATGCAGCTCAGAATGCTGAAAACACTGAGTCTTATTTCATACACAACAGTGCTGGAGTGCCAGAAACACTGAGAAACACTAGGTTGTGAAGGTAAGATAAATTCTTCCTCACAGAGGCAGGACCTGACAATGAAATCAGTACTTTCACAGCAGTTTCATGAATACATTTACTCCAGCTCTGTTACTCATTATGTGGAAGCTGCTTGTGTAAGAACCATGAGCACACCATAAAAAGTGCGGCTATAAAACTTACCTAAGACTGAGGCAGCAGTGAAAATACTCAACCTGTGCCTTCATCACTTTATTTCTCCCCAGCCTACTTCCACTTTCAAGAAGTCAGAAGAGACCTAGTGTCTCCATCTCTAACCTGTGTCATCCTTGCTGAGATGCTGGCTCTCTCAGCAAGGGAATCCACCCACTCAACAAACTTTCAAAGAAAAGTAGAGAAATTCAGAACACATTTGCTGTTATCAAACCCTAGAAAGTTCCTACTGGCAATGACCCTGCTTAAACAAGCAGGGAATATCTATGATGTCTTCATTTCAGTGCAGCTTTCTTCTGAAAAAAGTAATAGCAGCCCAGAAACTCCACAGAAAGCCCAGCTTGCTGGAAGTCAAGGACATAAAAAAAAAATAAATCCATTAAGTAGAACCAAACAATATTATTTTTTACTTTTTTTAAACAGCAATTATTTTTCATGATTTTCTTCATACACCTTGATCATCATTCCAGTTCTTAAATCAAAATTAAAGTCCTCCTTACAGTTTAACTTGCCAGAAGTCCATATTCTTAGTGTCAGTTCTGCGCTGGCTTGTACTTCCCTGTGACTGTGTAACACCTTGACAAGAGCACCATCAGCAAAGAGCAGAAATTGATAGAAAATACAGCATACCCGTTGACTCAGTGAAGGCCCCAACCCATAACTGGAATCTCCTTACTTACTTTAAAACAAATTCAGTGGGCCCCAACTTACTTGTAAGTTACAGTAAACTATTCCCAAGTACTCATTAATCATGCTATAAGACTGTTTACTGCTTGTCACTTCAAAACACTGGGATAAATTATATCCTTTATTGACTGTTTTGAAGAACAAAAAGGAAGAGGCTGAAACATGAAATGAAATGCACTAAACAAGTGGAAACAGCCCCTTTAAATATTTTTAGCTGGTGCTACTAGTGAAAGCTTGTGGGTGGAGTGACAGTGCTGGCAGATACAGTTTTCAGAATAGATTTATATAAAGTTGCTGTAGGGCAGAGAGCATGAGTATTACCTTTCAAAAACAAAACAACCCCCCTCACCCCACAAAACCAACAAATTTCAACCCTTGGGTGAAAACTATACAAATCTCCAAATGAGAAGCCACTTGAGCAATGGATTTATCCATGATTCCTTGGATTACTGGTAAGTAATTTGGCTCAATGTTTCTGTTCTAGGGCATTAGTTTTGCATTTTTTCTTTGCAAAATGCTGCAGTAACAAATAGCAGAGACCAGATTACCATAAAAGCAGGTCAATTATTTCAATGAAAATTGTTCAGAAGGAAAGAAACAATGCACAGATTCTCTTAAGCTACACTTGATGATGATGACAGAAAAGTAATGGCTGATAGAAGGCAGTGTGTACTGTTGGGTGACAGCTTTGCTGCTGACAAACTACGATGAACATTTGTATAATGCACTGCAAGAGTGGCACTTACAGCTGATGGTGTGGTAGGATCTCAGCTGATGCTTGTTCCAGAGCTACAATGGTATATACCAGCTAAGGTGTTCAGAATCTAGTCCTGGACATATCTGTTATTTACATTGCATAAAATAAGGCAAAATAAATGTTTTATGTTTCTCATAGAGCCAGAGATTTTAAGAGCAAATGCAGACATGAATTACTTTATGCAAATTACTTTCAGGGAATCACAGTCCTGAGAGCCCAAGAATCTGTGCCACATATTTACTCAGTTCACAAATAAAAAAAGACCCCTCTCCATCATCACCATAAATGGTAGGTATTTAAATTTGGCTGTGAAGTCCTTTGCAGCTTATCAAAGTAATGAAGATGCAGGGAGTGTTGCCCACTGTTACTGCAATAAACTGCTATACACTTTCAGTGGAAAAGAACACCTGAATCTGAAGGTACATCTTAAAATAATACACTAGTACATGTAGTCCTTAAAATGGAAGCCAGTTAAAAGCACCACTGATGAAGAATGAGGCAGAATAGAATCTGATTCATTTTTCACAACATAAACATATATATAATTATTTTTATTATTGTTATTATTATTTTATACCTTCTGCATAGTATTTTTTTCCATTATGGGCCTCATATTGCATTACAAAGAAATTGTCTTTATCCCAGGCTGTATCCTGATGGTACAAATAACTTTGCCCAATAAGCAAACAGCAGAGCTGTGAACTGCGCTCTGCTGAGTTACAGTCCATTATTCTATCCACTGGATTCCTAATGAAATATTTGTATGCAAAGTGAATATTACCAGGGAGAACATTTGCCTAGGATGAATGTACTGTTTTTTCTCATCTTTTCCCAAGATACACTTATGCATCATGGTCTTCAGTTTGCAAGTGCCAAGAAAGCAGGTACCACAAATAGTTACAAAGGCTGTCTAGGAGCTATCTGCAGTAAGACAGGTGACAAAAGACTTGAGGGGACATTAGGTAATTCCTTCACATACAAATGCTCATAAGAGATTTTTTTCTACAGCTTGCTGAAAAATCAAAAATCATG